TTCAAATGTACCTGCTCACACGGGCAAATAAACAAAACAGACGAGTTTTCACTGATGTGTAGAAGTAGTTTTTACTAATATTTTTTTTTTCATTTTTTAATACAGTCATGAATTCTTTCTAGTAAAATTAATATTGCTGCAGATTTATTTATTATTCATTAGTCGAATTATAAACATATAATTTTCGTTTTTAAAAGTGGGAGGGGTTTGGGGAGCCAGAGAAAAAAAAAATCAACTTACAAGAAAAAATCTGACAAACAGAAAAACAAAACAAAACAACAAAACAAAAACAAAAAAAAGGGGGTGGGGTGGGGGTTTAAACTCGAAAATCCTTTTTCATGGGGGGGGGGGGGGTTCCAACTTTTTTCGGAACAAAATATTCTTCATACATTATCATAAAAAAATTGGGTCGGTAGATATGTAATAATTTTTTTTTCCAGAAAATTTCAACATTCTTATTGATGAAGAAAGAAAAATCAGGAGGAAAAAAATATCGTTTCCTCAGGTTAAACAAGTTTTGAGTCGGGTCATTTTTAGCCAGTCGTTGAGGGCAAAGAAACAATTTTTTAAAGATGGTCTAACCTAATTTGGCTGATACCACGTGTCTGAAATTACTCGCCGAAGCAGCATTCATGTTTACAGGGGTTACTAAGGCCAATTTCTGTTAAGCTGATTTGCATTGCATTTTAATTTGTAAAAAAAAAAAAAAACTGAATATTTTGAATGAAATGTGCATGAGTTTCAGTTGCAAAAACGTTCTCATATATGTCACATCAGGAATGGCTATTTATAAATTTTCTACACAGATATTGTCAGAGGTGATAATTCCTTGTAATGGCTAAGAAAACTATCAAAATAAAATTAAACTCGGCTTCAATATACATGTACATGTAATATAGCCGTATGAATCCATGGGAAAAAAGCCCGCTCGTAATTTTTCGGTTGATAAGACTTCTTCTTAGATACATACGATCCTTCGACGTAATTTTGCTCCAGTCTTTGCCCCCCCCCCCCCTTTCAGCTTCTTGATTTTTTTAAAATTAAATATTTCGGATTTCCAACGTTTTGGCATGAGCATTACTTAAGAGACATAAATTGTTTAAATGCGCATCTAGTGCATCAAAATTGGCACCGTATATGATTTACATGTACAAAGTTTAGCCAGTAGCATGAACAAAAGGGCCATTGTTTTATGTTTATTTTTTAACTCTAACTTTTTCGTAAGACAGAATCTTTGACTTCATGCTTCAAAATGAGACATTTTCCATATTCCGTTTAGATGTGTATTACCCTTTTCGGAACCTCTTCGCTCGTTTAAATGTCCATTGAAATGTATTGTAGCGTTACGGTAGCGACTACGACAAGAAGTAATTTTGAGGTATCCTGCGGGGATTTTATCTTTTGAAATCGCAATAACATTGAAGAATTCAATAATGCAAATGTGAATACAATGAACGATCCCCTTTTTTGGTTACGTTCGTTCGTAAGATGTCGGTATTTCTCTATTTGGACCAATATCCTACCTCAGGAGGTCATGAATTGAACAAACTTGAATCTGTGCAACCTGAGGATTTTTGTGTTTTAACCCGACTAATAAAGGCCCTTCTCTCATGATTTTTCGTACACGTGTATACTTAAGTTCTATTATGGCCCCACTCTTGATTTGAACATCTTTACAGGAAAGCATACACATCACAGGCTTTCCGATCGCTTTGATCTGACCGACATGTATAAAAACAAGAGGCCCAAGGGCCTTAACGGTCACCTGAGAATAATACAACGATTTAGAGGATCCATAGAAGTATAAAACAAACTGATAGATGAAGCTATGTTGCCTAAAAGCAAGATAAATAGGATGACTAGATCAACAAAATAATTAGTCTAGTATTCAGTAACAACTTCTAAATTAAGTTCTAATCTGTCACCCATTTATCACTATCACCATGCAGACTATTAAAAACTATTAAAGCTTCTGTACTATTTTTTAACCCCATAACATAACCTCTCACATTGGCCTCTCTTGCTCTTTGAAGAAAAATTAAGATAAGTTATTTTTGTCTCATTTTTATTTATCTATTATATACAAGTCTACCTGATCATTCAAACTATAGAAGCACTTTTTGTACAATACAATGAAAATTCTCGCATAATTCACTTATTCTTTTAACCTTTCAAATGCATCATTTACATTGATTAATTATCAAAACTGAATGGCAAAGGGGAATAACTTCTCTCAGTATGATACAAATTAATAGAGCCCTGGTCTGGATCATTAAATGTTAAAAAATCTGGTAAAAATAGCCTTGCTTATTAAAACTATTAAACTGTTTGCTTCCAATATACCCAGGAGCATAGAAGATTTTCAAAGAAATAATGCATTTTCACTAAAGATTCAACACAGTCCTACCCTTACACCAGAACCCATGACCCAGGGTCATGAAATTCAAAAATTAGAAAAGGTACGCTCATCATCAAAACTAAACACTTAGTTGACGATTTTCAAAGAATTAACACATTTTCACTATATTTTCAATACCACCCCCCCCCCCCCCCAGCAAAAACAAAAAAAAAACAAAAAAAAAAACAAACAAACAAACAAAAAACACAACACCTCACCCTGAGACCAAAAGTTTTAAATTTTTTGTAAGAAGCACCCTTGATCATCATAACCATGCACTATATGTACCTACTCAACACCAAGGTGCAGACAGGATTATTTAATAGAATTAAAGCATTTTCACTAAATAATCAATAGAGCCCTGCCCTAACACCAGAACCCCTGACCCAGTGGCCATGAAACTCACAATTCTGGAAGAAGCACTCTTGTTCATTATAACTATTACCTTAGTTTCCTTGTTTTGTAACCAGGATCAGAGAAGAATATTTTCAAAGAAATTATGCTTTTTCACAATATAATCAATATACCCCTCCCCCTTTTTTTTACCAGAATACCTGACCCTGGGACAATGATTTACAAAATTTTGGAAGAGGCATCCTTGCTTATCATAATTATGCACTTAGTTTGTTTAAATAATAAGCAGGAGCAGAGAAGAAGATTTTCAAAGAATTAAGACATTTTCACTATTATAATCAATAGAGCCCCACCCTAACACCAGAACCCCTGACCCAGGGGCCATGAAATTCACAAATTTGGAGGAGGCTTTGAGCTCATCATAACTATGTACATGTATTTAGTTAGTCTGTTTAATACCCAGGAGCAGAGAAGATTTTCAGAGTAATAATGCACTTTCACTATTTGATCGATATATGGACCCCCCCCCCCTTTTCACCAGAACCCCTGACCCAGGGGCCATGAAATTCACAATTTTGGAGGAGGCACTTGTGCTCATTTTAACTATGTACTTAGTTAGTCTGTTTAATACCCAGGAGCAGAGAAGAAGATTTTCAAAGAAATAATGTATTTTCACTATATCATCAATAAAGCCCCACCCTAACTCCAGATCCCCTAGCCCAAAGGCCATGAAATTCACAATTTTGGAAGAGGAATTCTTGCTCATCATAACTTTGTACTTAGTTAGTTTGTTTAATACCCAGGAGCAGAGAAGAAGATTTTCAAAGAAATAATGCACTTTCACTATATGATCTATATAGCCCCACCCTAGCACCAGAATCCCTGAACCAGGGGCCATGAGATTCACAATTTTGGAGGAGACATTCTTCTTCATCATAACTATGTACTTAGTTAGTTTAATACACAGGAGCAGAGAAGATTTTCAAAGAAATAATGCACTTTCACTATATGATCTATATAGCCCCACCCCTAGCATAAGAACCCCTGACCCTGGGGCCATGAATTTCACAATTTTGGTAGAGGGCTTAATGCTTATTACAATCATGCCAACAGTTTGACTGCTTGATGTCCAGGAGTAAAGAAGAAGATTTTTAAAGATTGCATTAATTTTGGTGGTTTTAACCCCACCCCTCAGGCCCCAGGGGGGTAGGGACAATAAAATTCACAATTTTTGTTCCCCTTCACCCATGGTTGCTATATGCCAAAATTGGTTAAAATTGGTTCAGTGGTTTCAGAGAGGAAGCTGAAAATGTTCAAATGTTAATGGACGACGCACATCGCACAATGACGGACGAAAACGGATAGCAATAGGTCACCTGAGTGACTCAGGTGACCTAAAAATACATGTTGGTCAGATCAAAGCGATCTGAAGGCCTGTGATGCACATACATAGCATGTTTTGTACTCTCTGCTCTAGTGGTTTTTGAGATGATTTTCAAAATGGGTCTTGCTCCATATCTGAACATAACACATCATTAGTCAGATGCCAGACACCCTCTGCATGAGCTAAAAGAGGCCTTCTTCAGAAACGAAGCCATGTTTATCATACTGATATTGAAGTATCTCCATGTTTTGTGGATTCAAGTTTGGTTAACTGAAGTCATGATCCCTTGGAGCTAGGGTGGGGCGACAATGTCGGGTGTATTTTTCTCTTAGCAATAAAGAGGAAAAAATCTTTTGAAAATCTGAAGAACAGGAAGACCAAGGTGAACCAGGCAAGCATTGTAGACAAAGGTCTCTTGTCACACATGTAAATACCTCTCCCCCTCCCTCTACATATAAGTAATAAGAACATGTTTATTTAATATCCTTTTGATTCTGAAAAGGTTAAATAATAATTTAGGTCATGACACATTTTGAACCGAATGAAAACATTATTTTCTTCCCATATCAAATATTAATTGGGAAATTCAGACACAGAAATTTTGAATAATTGTTCAAGCACAGCACTTAATGTGTGTTGAATTATCATGCAGAAAAAGTACCTGTACATAAAACCAACCCCACACTTCTATGTAGTGTGCAACTTAGTTAGCTGCTGTTCAATAAATTAAACCAACCCACACTTTGTGTTCTCAGTTCCAGCTACTGTTAAATAAATTAAAGCCAAATGTTCCTTAGATTTACTGTTCTCAATTCCTGCTGCTGTAAAATATGTACTCAAAACAAAGAAGGTATACTAGCAACATGAAATTCTAAAATTTATTGATCATAGCTTGGTAACTTAACTTTTTGTGTATATAATACAGGACAATTATCATAGACAATAAACAAACTCTTAATAAATTATACCCGTTAAAATTTGAAAAAAAAAGTCTGATAACACGTACATGTAAAAACAATAACACTTCCTAGATGAAATTCAAGAGAGCTTCTTAAATCAACAGTATTCAAGATGTAGGAGAACAAAATTAATGTCTGAGCATTTATGGCTGAACAGAAATAGGGACTCCTTTATTGGAAGTTGAAAAAAGTTCCCCTTTTCATCAGAACTGGAGCTCCAATCCTCCATAAAAACTTACAATTTTTTGGTATATCTAGAATATACACTGTATTTGCGGTAATAGGCAAAACATTTAACCAGTTGTTTTTTTTTTTTCATTGGTCAAGTGAAAATTTGAAATAGGCAATGAGAGTTTCTTCAATAAATACTCCCCATTTGAGGGTACATTAAGAGATGCAAACCAAAATGTCTTCAAATAGAATTATAGGATTATTATTATTAACTATTCTGTAAATCACTATTTTTTTTGAGAAATTTTTTTGTGTGATTACATGAGTCTGTCTACTCAAAAAAATTTCATTCTCGCATATATTTAACATTAAGATTACACACAACAGCCAGAATTTCTGAAAATGTTCTCTTGAATATAAATACTTTGAATTTATTGTGAAAAAAAAGGGTGAAAATTTTGTGATTCAACAGCACATTTGTACTTATTCTTACACATTAATTATAAGATTTATAAATATATGAGGAATATACTCGTATATTAACGTAAATTTATTTATGAATATGGAAAGGTGTATGGAAAGTATCATAGATAAAACTTACATTGTCCAAAAATTAATGTCAATATAAATATGCATACAAATATGTTATAATAGTATGTTATAACAGGGGCTGACAAATCCCATTGCCCGACGCCCAGGACTAGTGAATTCTAGGAGAGGGCAAGTGAAATTTTATCAACCACTTGCCCGTGGGCAAGTGACTTAAAAAAATAAAATGAAGATTTATGTCATTGATTTAATTTTGGGAACAGGGGATTGCATGTTCTACTCAGTATTTTTCTTCCTATTTTTTTAAATATATATAAATACAATACTAGTTTATGGTTGGGCAAGCAAAAATTCAGGTAGGGCAAGTGAATTTTCACCATGCACTTGCCCTTGGACAAGTGCCTAAAAAATCTATTTGTCAGCCCCTGTATAATACAAGAAACACAATTACTTAAACTGTGATTGTTTGGACCAATCATAATATGTGTACGCTGGGGCATAGTCCATCTCTCCCCTTGTGTGTTCTGAGTCATCTTCATCACGGATGTTAGTTTTACCAAACACACACTCACTGTAGCTTGGTGGTGCTGCAAAAGAAAAGTTCATCAAAATCCAATAATCCTAATGGGTAAACATATATACCCATTTTGTTTGACAGTACCTCTTGGATAGCATTTCTGTGATAATGCTATTTTTTGGGGCTAATGGAATTCAAACAAGCATGGCTGTCATGTTTTCTAATAAAATGCATATACTTGAAGTTCTCTATCAATAAATAAGTCAGAATATTTAATAACAAATTTTGTTTTGTGTGCCTTTTTAAATCACACAGGTTTCTTAAGCTGTATATCTAAATAAAAAAACAAAACCAGTATGACTGTATGCAAAGATTTGTTTCCACATCTATTTTACTCACGCAAATCTGACATAGGTGAAGCTCCCCCTACAGGTGGAGCAGATGGCGCTGGCCCAGGGGGAGGTAATGCTGGCTGTTCAGGCGCAGACACTCCATACTGTGTTTGGTACTGCTGAACTACTGTCCGCAGAGGTATTGTACCAATAAGGATCAATAAAGGCACATGAAGGTCTATGGCAGGGCCAGAGGGATCAACAATCAACTATATAATTAAAAGAGTATAAATATTGCAGGACAAAATAATTTCATTCATTGTGTTAAATGTATAATTTTGCTCAAGGTTTTTGAGGTTATTATATCCGATGATGAATGTTGCATTCTAAAATGCATCTTTTAAGTGTGCTTGTCATCTTTATAGTTTTTGAAAATGGAAATACATTTAAACTGATTTAGAGATACAAAATCTATAATTTTTATAATTTTAATTCTTAATTTCAGAAAATTTCATTTTATAATTGAAAATAAAAATTTGTCTCACTCCAACAGCTAGAATATCACACATTATTTTTGAACTATATATGATCACTTTAATTAATGACTTTCTGAGTTGGAAGGTGAAAACCTTTGATTTATACCTCAAAGTAGTAATTAATGTCGATAATACTGCATCCCACGAGAAATGATGGAGGTAAGGGGGGTATAACGAGCCTGTCACCTGACCAGGTTTCTGTTTCTCCAGGCTGTACGTCCTGGTGGACTACTCTTGCTACCTCAGTAGTCGTAGTTTTTGATTTTGTTGTAGCATGGAACACAGTGGTCTAAAAAAAATTAAGAATGGACAATAAAGGCAGGATCAAATAAATAACAGAAATTTTATCAAAAGCATCATTAATTGCATATGATAGAGAGAAAAGATAGAAATAACGCTTTTCTAAAAACTATATAATTTTGTATGTCTCCCAAATTCGATATTCTGTAATACTGACTCAGTGTGTTTCAATACTCATGCAAGTATGCATTTGTGTATCATATGAAAAAATATATTGCTGAAAGAGAACAGCCAATGAAATTGCTGAAAAGGGAACATATTGACATTTAAACAAGGTTAAAATGAAATAGTTTATTTCAATGCTGTAAATTACTTTTACTCACCATATAAAGCTTAACATGAGTTCCACAGACTCTGCTTGTCATGTTTTGTATTTCTGCGTTGAAGGTTATTGCTTCGCCAGGAACATACCCTACTCTGTCCAGTTTTAAAACCCCTGTTATTGGTCCCGACTTGCAGCACAAACAACACAGGAATTTACTCTGTTGGTTTTGAGTCCCACACTGAGTTATACAAATGAAGATATTCAAATTAGTTTCCAGTCATCTCCCAAAAACAAAAAAATATAAAAAATATTTGAAAACTAGAAATATGTCCATAGGACATGAATGCCCCGCCGAGGTTATATTAGTAATACAACATTTTAACACAAATTGAGAAAAGTGAGGTCAAGGTCAAAGGAAAGGTCAAGGTCAAAAAATATTGATGCAGTTGAATAGCTCTCATCAGTATATATCAGCATATGAAGTTTGACACTAATTTAACACAAAAGTGAGGTCAAGGTCAAAGGAAAGGTCAAGGTCAAAAATGTTGATGCAGTTGAATAGCTCTCATCAGTATGTATCAACATATGAAGTTTGATTACACTATCTTGAATGGTATCTTTAAAACTGAGCTAAACACGAATTTAAGAAAAGTGAGGTCAAGGTCAAAGGAAAGGTCAAAGTCAAAAAATGTTGATGCAGTTGCATAGCTCTCATCAATATCTATCAGCATATGAAGTTTGACAAAAATATCTTGGACAGTTTCTTTGAAACTGAGCTTTGAACAGAGCTAAACGCAAAGTGTGACGGAAGGAACGGAAGATGGACATGACAAACACTATATGCCCCGGCCATATTCATGGCGGGACATATAAATTATTTCATTTCTAAATAGACAGCCAATATCTTTCACTTTTAAGATTTAAACCTGATCACACATCAAATGTTATACAGAAAATATCACATCCATATATTTAAGCATATGAGAAATCATCACTGAATTATCTTCATTAGTATTAAAAATCATTCTTTCTACAAATATACTGTTAACAGGTATATTTACAGGTACATACAGCTGCATTTGGCTGTGTGTTCAAATCTAACAATGCATTAACAGTGAAAGGTCTCTTCGTGGTGTGGTCAAACTTCCAAGGTTTGTCAATGGTTCCTTTGATGGTGTATCTGACGTAACCAACTCCACCTTCAAATGACGATGGAAGATTTGGAGGTAGCTGGAAGGAAAAGGGATATACATGCTGTCCAGGAGGTAAGCGATTGTCTTCACCCATTCCCATCCCTGTGAAGAATTGGACATATTCTCTACAGTATGATACTACTTATATTTTTTCTTCAGAATTCCATAATACTCTCATATGACAGTTGCAACATTCATTGATATTACATATGTACACATGGTACTTTTTAAGTACTGATATTACTTATGAAGAGTTATTACAGCAAATACAATAGGATCATTAGGGAGAGTAGCATTTTTGAAAAAAGAGTGCCCCAACAGCATATGATACACTCATCAGATATTGTTTATTCATCAAAAACAAAAGAGTTTGCATGGAGGAAAATCATGTCAATCTTGGTACAAAGACATGACAACCAGGTACACAGACATGACAACCAGCAAACTGGTTGTTGGGATATAAAAATATAAATAGATTACACAATATGAAATTTACATTTTATATACAAAACTGAAAACAAAAATCAAGAATTATTTTAATTTGACAAATGTTATCAATTGCAATTGAGAAGCCAGATCTCTAATTCCTCTGCCTAAAATCCAAGAGATATGGATAATACCTGCTTGATCAGAGATGCTCCCAAAGAAATGATAAGGCAGCCTTCTTACATTAACCTCACTAATTAATCTTTTACTTGACAGATGCAATTTGTGCCTCCTATCAAATGTCACACTGAACTTGAAGAAACTCTATGCCTTAGATCTTAATTGCTCTGATAGGACAAGTGTAATTTATGACTCTATCTGTTGTGTGATGAACTATAGGTAAGTCTTAGTATACTTGTAGTTACAATATTATTACATTTTTGTCATTATTAATATTACTGATGGAGAAACAGCAAGACAGTTGAAGAGTGCTTGCAGATTTTCTAAAAATTGATGGGGACAATAACTTTCACTCACAAGAATGTATGTCCCTGGGTCTATATACATTGACTTATGTGAAAGAAATAAGTTTATAAAACTTCTGCTGAGGGTTGCACTTAAGAGCTCTACAAATTGACCCAGCTAAGTGATAACCTAAACTAACCTGTGCAACCAAGTAGGAAACTTAAACAAGTTTTCACATATCACAGAAAAGATACATGAATACAAATTTTTGTTTTGCAAGTTTGATCAGGTGGACCCCATCATCTGTCGAGAATGAAGCTGGATCAAATGTTTTTTCTGGTTCTCTTATCAAGAAAATACTAGTAGCTTGAAACTGTCACTAGGGCAATTCTGGAGGAATGTAAGGCAAATATCATCATCTTTGGTTACTCCAGGTAAGGCGTATTGATGACTTTTAATTTTCTTCAAACAGGAATCAAATTTTGCTATATATTCCTAAAAAGATTGCCAAACTCCATGGGAATATTTAAATTTTTGGAGCAATTCAGTTTGAATTCTTGTAAAAAGATGATCTTTCTGAAATTGCTAACAACTGAAAAAAAACTCGCAAAGAAATCCTTAAAGATACAGTTGCTTGAAAGTCAAGCACAGGACTTATAACCACCCAATCCTTCAAGACAATATACTTATCAATTTATGTGCCTTGTTTTGTGCTATTATCTGGCAAAATCCAAAGAGACACATCGTTTTCTATTTTAGGGGGAAAAAATCTACTCCATTTAAAAATACCCATACTTTTCTCCATCATTTTTTGACTTTGTTGAGATTTGTCAAAATGATCAAGAACATGTATGAAAAACATAGGTAATCAGAGATTACAGAGCTCACCTCAACGAATGTTGTCTTTAAGTAAGGCAAAGTCCCACACTAAACTAATAATCTAGGAGTGTGCATCCCTAGATGCAACATTTATGCAATTTTGTTCTGACAGGGCTTGCAGTTACTTGGGAATAGACTTATCTGAAAACTTAAAACTAGTCACTCATCCAGAAAATGTAAGTCAAATCCAGCATCCAAAGCAAGTTTGAGATTGTTCATCCCTTGATGCATCATCCATGCAAGTTTGGTTCAGATAGGCCTTATAATTACTTGGAAATGAGATCTGCTCCAAAAACTTTAACCTGGTTACTCATCCGGAAAATGTAGGTCAGATCCAGCATCCGAAGCAAGTCCAGTAGTGTGAATCCTTAGATATATCATCCATGCAAGTTTGGTCAATATATGGTTTATAGTTACTTGGAAATGACATCTGCTCCAAAAACTTTTACCTGGCCACTTATCCGGAAAATTTAGTTCAGATCCAGCATCCGAAGCAAGTCCAGTAGTGTGCATCCTTAGATGTATCATCCATGCAAGTTTAGTCAATATAGGGCTTATAGTCACTTGGAAATGAGATCTGCTCCAAAAACTTTAACCTGGTTACTCATCCGGAAAATATAGGTCAGATCCAGCATCCGTAGCGAGTCCAGTAGTGTACATCCTAAGATGTATCATCCATGCAAGTTTGGTCAATATAGGGTTTATACATACTTGAAAATGACATCTGCTCCAAAAACTTTAACCTGGTTACTCATCTGGAAAATGTAGGTCAGATTCAGCATCCGAAGCAAGTCCAGTAGTGTGAATCCTTAGATGTATCATCCTTGCAAGTTTGTTCAATATAGGGTTTATAGTTACTTGGAAATGACATCTGCTCCAAAAACTTTAACCTGGTCACTCATCCAGAAAATATAGGTCAAATCCAGCATCCGAAGCAAGTCCAGTAGTGTGCATCCTTAGATGTATCATCCATGCAAGTTTGGTCAATATAGGGCTTATAGTTACTTGGAAATGAGATCTACTCCAAAAACCTTAACCTAGTCACTCATCCGGAATATGTAGGTCAGATCCAGCATCTGAAGCAAGTTCAGTAGTGTGCCTACTTAGATGTATCATCCATGCAGGTTTGGTCAATATAGGGCTTAAAGTTACTTGGAAATGAGACCTGCTCCAAAAACTTTAACCTGGTCATTCTTTAGCTGAAATTGCAGCATCTGAAACCTTGACTGGTACAATGAAACACACTAGAAGCATCCTCCATGCATTTCTGACTAATATAGGCCATAGAAGTACTTGAAAAGAAAACTGCTCCAAAAACCTTAACCTGGGACGCCGACGCCGAGGGTAGTACATAAGCTCCCCCAACTTCGTTGAGGTGAGCTAAAAATTGATTACATGTATATGTTTATAATGTTTTTATATGTCATTTTCATGCCAAGAAAGAATACTGAAGTATATAAAACTCAAAAGGCAAAATGAAGCTGCAATAAACTATATAAGATATAATTCAGCAGAAGTCATAACTTGTTTTAAGATGAAAATTAGTCCAAAGACTTCCAAACTACCACCTTCTCCAAACAATGGCAGTGACTTTTCAAAGTAATTCTCGGATGCGCTGTAATTTCTGGTCACTGTGCTTGTTGTTTTTCCTGTTGAGGTTGTTTGGGTTTCTGACCAGTGTACATAAGCTAATCCTTTGAATCTCAACCTTATTTCTGAAATGACATGAAATAAATACATTTTAATTAAAACTACAAATCATACACACCTTGTCCAAACACAGGAACAACTTGATGGAAGTAGTTCTCGGTAGCGCTGTAATGTCTAGTTGTGGTGTGTCTATTTTTTCCACTTCCAGAACTGTGTGTCTCGGTCCAATGAACATAAGCCAACCCTTTAAATGTCAATCTTATTTCTGAAATAATAGAAACTTGCATGATATCTAGTCAGGAAAAAATAAAATTAGCACAAATTAGGCATTGCTTTCATTTGTTTTCATTGTATGATATCACCATAATATATCAGGGATATTTTTCTGAGGAATTAGGGTGGGTATCACATAAATATCTGAATAACTTCAAAATTCTGGTATGCTAATTATGTGTAAAAGACACAGAACAGATCTAGGGAATCTGAGCTCAATTAGATTGCAATTTTCATCAGTAATATACATTTATTGACTGGGTTCGAGGGCAACATGCATTTTGTCGGACCTAAGAACCAAACTGTTTGCCTGAGGCCGTTAGGCCAAAGGCAAACAGTATGGTTCGAGGGGTCGACAAAACGCATTTTGCCTGAGAACACAGTCAATAAATGTTTTGTTATACCTTTTATTTATTTATTTTTTTTTTGACATACATGTATGTTGAACACAAACGAATGCAAATGAGATTTAGCTGACCCCGCCCATTATGTGACATGAGCGGTCCAACATCTCATCGACAGGTTCAATATCTCACTCCACAGTCAAACATCGATTTTTTTTATGCCCGCTCAGTAAAACATTGGAAATGTTAGACTTTTATTAGTATTGATTTATATAGGAACAAATTTTTAAAGATATAACAATGTTTTATTTTATACTATTTATTCAAGATGCAATATGTATATTTGCATTTCCTTCAATCTGTGACTGTTCCACTTTTTAAATGCAGATCATTTTAAGTTTATTGAAACCTACAAATGCCACATCCAAATACTGGTATTAGTTTTACAAGGGCCAATAATGACACTTTAGTCTTTCAATACTATATATCCCCCCCAAGAGAGGCCCATGGGCCACAATGCTCATTGAGTCAATATGGCTCTGCTGTTCTTCATCATCAGATTTTTTCCATTATATATCTCTATGTAAAACATTAATCACACATCATGATTTGAACAAACTTTAATCTACACTACCTGATGATCCTTCCATATCAATATGACTAATCATGCCTTTGCTGTTCTTGAGAAGAAGATTTTTAAACTATATTCCTCTGTAACAGTTTTATCCCCCATTCTGGCCCCACCCAACCCTCTGGGGCCATTATCTGAACAAATTTGAATCTACACAACCTGACAATGCTTCCACATCAATATGAGTAATCATGCCTTTGCTGTTCTTGAGAAGAAAACCTATAAATATTTGTTCCTATAAACTCTTATGTAAAACTTGAATCCCCCATTATGGCCTCACCTTACCCCAAAGTTTCATGATTTGACAAATTTGAATCTCTACACTACCTGAGGATTATGGAGCCTTTGTTTACTGTTCATGAGAAGAAGATTTTTTCCTAGATATTCCTATGTAAAACTTTGATCAAACTATTGTGGCTTCACCAAACCCCCAGGGTCATGATTTGAACAAAATTGAATCTACACTCATAATCTTATGAGGATTTCACCAGTTTCAATTTTTTTTGGCCCAAGAGTTCTTGGTAAGAAATTTTTAAAAAGACACTGCCAAATTTTTACTAATTCTTTTAATTATTTCTCCTTGAAAGAGGGCATGGCCCTTAATTTGAAAAAACTAATGAATCCCCTTTACCCAAGGATGCTTTATTGCAAGCTTGGTTGAAATTGACCTAGTGATTCTGGAGAAGAAGTAAAAAAAAAAATGAAAATGGACGGACAACAGACAAAATTTGATCAGAAAAGCTCACTTGAGCTTTCAGCTCAGGTGAGCTAAAAAAGACTTAGAAGATCACAAGACTTAGTAGATCACACTATGATGCCCTTTCAATATAAAGTACATGTAACTGTCCGTTGGCCTTGGGATTAGGAAATTATTTACATTGCTTGGAAACTTAACATTATATAAAATATACATGTATAACAATTTTACTGTCAAAATGCAAAGTACTCAAAAGTCTATGTGCTTAATTAGTATAACATCATAATTACAGAAGATTTTCAATTTCAATTGTTTTGTTATTGATTTTCATGCTTTTCCCAAATTTCCCAAATTTCTTTCTACCTGTTTGAAACTTGGATTCAAGGAAAAATTTTCCATTGGGAATATAGCCCATTATCAACTCCATATTAAATCCCCCCCCCCAAAAAAAAAACCAAATAAGGCCATCTTTAAAAAAAAATGTTTGTTTGCCCTCTCCCGACCTGCTGGCTAGAAATGACCCGTCTCAAAACTTTTTTTAACCTTCAGACCATATTTTTTTTTCCTATTTATTCCTGAATTTTTTCATCCTGTCAACATACAAATGTTTTGGAAAAAAATTTTTCCCCTCCAACCTACTAACCCAATTTTTTTTTACTGTGAGTCAGGAGAGGGCAAACAGACATTATTTTAAAGATGGCCTAAATATAAACAAGAGGCCCAAGGGCCTTAAATTGCTCCTCTGATAAATTGTACAACCTGTCACTTATATTTGAAGCCTCTCAGTATCTTGTATATTTAGATCAAGCCTTGAAAATCAAAAAATAGGTCATCATGACCTACATTTTTGCTAAACACTCTAAGAAACCAAGATAACAACTTACAAAAATTGACGATTCTAAGACAATTACCATCTGAAATATTAAAATATCATCACAAAATTCAAAAGGTACATAATGTAAGTAAAAATGTCCTACTTTTCAGTTGACCTACTCTGATCACTTAAGATGCATCAACTGATAAATTTTGATGATTCTAGGCCAATTAGTTCCTGAAATATTTCAATATAACCATAAAATTTCAAAAGTAGGTCACAGTGACCTACATTTGAAATGATGTACTCTGAGGACCCAAGATGCATTAACTGACAAAGTTTGATGACTCTAAGCAAATTAGTACCTGAAATATTTAAATATAACCATATAATTTCAAAAGAAGGTCATGGTGATCTACTTTTCAGTTGATGTTCTCCAAGGACCCAAGATGTATGAACTGACAAAGTTTGATGATTCCATGCCAATTGGTACCTGAAATATTTAAATATAGCCATAAAATTTCAAAAGTAGGTCACAGTGACCTAATTTTCAGGTGACATTCTTTAACGAATCAAATTTTATGTGTGTGACACAGTAAAAATTTTGCGACACAGTAAGATCTGTAATCATAAAAAAAATCAGAACATAAATTCTCTCTAACTGAAACTTAAATCAAACAAATCTACTGTCTTTCAATTATTTAGGCAAGTTCATGTTCGAGTTCATTTATTCACTCAAAACCATCTAATATATACATGTATATGGTACATGAGGACAATGAAAAATATTTACAACATATAAATTCCTTTCAGAGGTACAAGTATATGAATGATATACTTATTCAGAAAATGAAAGTGAAAGAAGACAAAAGAAAAACATATAATACATATACTAATAGTATAAATGAGGAAAATGCAGAGCACTTAATTATCTCTTAATTAGGGCACTTTGTCCTAGACTCTCGCTGGACTTTACACATGAAGGAACAAAGACAAATAATTTGTTTTCACACTTCTATGTAACCGTATACATGTAATTGTTAGTTGCATTTTTAAATATAATTTAAAAATCAAAAATTTATTATAAATATTAGGGATGTCAAATCAGTCAATTTTTGATAATCGGTTACTCGGACGTTTTTCCGATCGAGTACCTGGGTACTCAGTAAAAGTGTAGTTAATACAAAAGTGTTAATTTTCTTGAACCCCGTTAAACCCCAAGACTGTTTTTATCACGTGTATAAATGTACTATATAAACACCGATTCCAACGTAAATGATTTTTGGCACTAAATTTATTTATCAAATAAACACAAAAGACATAATTATTAGATCAAAAATTACAAATGGTTTACAGTTCTTGTTTAGAATCTATATTTCATCAAAAGGAGGACACTCTCTTACGCAGGTTTGTAATGATTAGACCAGTGAAAGAGAAGCAACGGACGTTGTTGGGATCGCTAGTCTAATATTATAGTAAGTTTAGTCTAATATTATAGTAAGTTTAGTGTATAAGGGGAAACAATTTTATATGTTGATTGCTTCCCCCGTATACACTAACTGACTAAACTTACTACGCTGACTTTCAACATTTTTTTTAAATATTTAGTTATTTCTAAGTATTTCTTCACTTTTGAAGTGAGTAGCGGCATTTCTATGCAAGTCCGATTTCGCTGCTGTATATTAACTAGATGATTTAAAAATGATTTGAAGATAATAGACCATCGATATTCACTGAAAACAATCATTGAAGCCATCAAAAAAATTAAGGACCACAATAGGTGAGAACAGCTGGGTCACTAATTACTGTATATACACAGCCACAGGCGATAATTGGTGTTTTAGATCTAGAGGTGTAGAAGACTACACGCTATAATAACTGTATGCATACATGTATTTAAATAAGTTTTTGAAAAGTTTTTGATAAAAATAAGTACTTTGAAATAAGAAAAAATACACATCCGAGTAACCGAGTATCACTTTTAGTATTCGATACTCGAACGTTCGATCGAGTACCCGGTTAACCGGGTACTCGTTGACATCCCTAATAAATATATGTCTTTATACTTCGGAACCACATGACTCTACAATTACGTCGGCACTGTGAGTCAAACATCTAAATGTTTTTGATGTAAATGTATTTTTGAAGAATTTAAAGATACCCCTAAAAGTATTTTACTATTCTTTTTTTTTAAATTTGGTAAGGCCAATCAAAAAAATATGTGTGGTTCCGGTTACACCTCCAAAAAAATTAAGGGTAGGAGGTAGGGATTTTTTTTTTTTTTTTTTTTTTTTAACAAAATGATTTTCTTAATTTTCTAAATAATACCTATTACTGCTTTGCAAATGACATTTAGATGTGGTGTGATAATATACACTGTACTAGTCAATATTGGTAGGGGACACGGTCACACCTACGTGCTAGCTTGCCATTGAAGGAAAGCGGGGAAAATTCAGGAAAAAATATGAAAATTGCCAAAAAAAGTTTAGGGTCGGGGTATAAAATAGGGACGGTCGGGTAACCGGAACCACACATATTTTTTTATTTGGCCTAATTCAATCAACTGACAAAATCAGGGCAAATTTACCTTTAAAGATGGTAAGTATATCAATTGTATCGACCAGCATTTCCCCTGCTCTTCAGAGCATGTGTAGAATATGAAGTTATACAAATATATTAAGGTTTAGTGTACACATACAACTTGTACACAGTGATACATGTATATTGTATACTAAGTTTCTTTTTTTTTAAATCGTACTTATAATTTTTAAAGTTGTGTGTTGGGGGGAAGTTTACAGTTGGTTTGTCTTTATAAATAGTACATTGTATGTACATTATTATGATTTGGATACATTCTAATTGTTTTAAATATCAATTAATTTATTGTTTTATCAATATGTAAGACCATACCATTTGTATAACGAGTTAGTGATTCAAATAAGTTGTGTGTATAAGTATGCTTTTGTAATTATAATGAATTATGGTGGTTCAGTTGCTAATTTGATTGCGAAAATACCGCGAATATTGGTGGTTCACGCAAAGTCTGCAACAGAGTAAAATTTCAAATGATGGAGAACCCTGATTCTAAACCTGAAAGTATTTGAAATAATGACCTTAAATGATTTGGAAAAGATAAGTCGTAAAATTCAAAAAGTAGGACAAGGTGACCTACTTTTCAGTTGACATACTCCAAGGACCCAAGATGCATCAACTGACGAAGTTTGATGACCATAGGCCTGAAAGTGTCCAAAATATGCCTTTTAATCAATTTGAAAACGAATGCCTGCAAAACTTAAAAAGGAGGTCACCGTGACCTACGTTTGAGTCAACATGATATAAAGTCCTAAGATACATCAACTGACAACCCCTGACTGATTATCTTAGTTCTTATAATAAGCAAAATATCAACGTTTTAACAAAACATAATTTTTGGTCAATTTTGAAGTGACCTTGAGACCACACCCTTTGCCCCAGGATGATGCCATAAACAATTTTTAATCTACAACATATCCTCATCCTTGTATATAAGTTTGGTGATAATCTGCCCAGTGGTTCTTGAGAAGATTTTTTAGCAACCAGTACTTTTGTTTTTATTGTCCTAATTATCTCCCCTTGTTTTAGGGTCACATCCCTTGTTTTAGTACAAATGAGAGCCCTTGTGCCAAGGATACTCTGTGACAAATTTGACAAAAATCGGCTACAGGGTTCTTGAGATATGGCCCATATTCTAAAAAGTTTATGCACACAGCACAAATGGCCATAGCATTACATGTAGCTCTTTGAGCCTTGGCTCAGAAGAGCTAAAAAAAAATTACACTAAGACTTAAATATTTACCTTCAATTTAGAGTAATGGTGTTCTTTAAATTCCATTAATATTATATAACATGTACATGTATTACACAACATTACCTCTCATTTTCATCTCTGCATCCAGTTCAACAACAAGTCTCCCATTTATAATCTGTCCTGCAAAGAAAACCCCTTGGGGATTTTCAAGTTCAATGTAGAAGGCTCTCAACTTCCCCATTCTACAATATCCTGAAAATGAAATGACTTGCAACTACACACTTGCATGGTTGTCCCTAAGAATTAAAATAACAGCTAGGGGACATTTAAAAAGAAGAAGGGGGTTTGGGATTCTTCCTCTAAAAGAGGGTTGAGGGGGAATACCAGAATAACTGGGGGATTATGTCATTATAGGTGTGGGAAATTCCCAGCCCCGGGTCTTAGGGAAAACCCTGCAAGTCAGATTTAAGCAGTATATTTTCATGTATAAAATGAATGCTGTAATACAAATGCATCTATTGTTGTGAGAAGATTCACCAGTTTATTATTATAACCTTAAAGTTGCTTGGTCCAATTTTTTATGGTAAAAAAACTTTCTGGTTTTTCATGAAAAACAAGAAGTCTGTGAGCCAGTGCTCACTAGTAATACCCCCACTCTGATGTGAATATATGCTCTCATGAATCCTACCATCTGGCATGCCTAAACAATGAATGTGCTAAAATTTCAAGCATCTGCATTGAGTAGTTGCTGTGAAAACTGTGACAAAAATTTGGTATGGACAGGCCCATGGATAAACAGGAAGTTGACATCGGATTGTAACAGAAAAGGAGAAAATGTATGGCTGGACCAGGAATCAAACCCAGGACCCATGCATCACTACTCAGGTGCTCTACAGGCTGAGCTTCCAAGGCTGATATAATCCATGCCTCAAACCATTAGAGGATCCATAAAAAATGAATCTCACCATACGGCATGCCTAAACAAAAAGTGTGCTAAAATTTCAAGCACATGCCATGAGTATTTGCTGAGAAAATTGTAACAAAAATTTGGTACAGACAGATGCATGGAAAAACAGGAAGTTGACATCTGATTTGTACAAAAATGGCATGCCTAGACAAAAAGTGTGCTTAAATTTCAAGCATCAGCAATGAGTAATTGCTGAGAAAACTGCAATGAAAATTTGTTATGGACAGACACTTGGACACACAGACAAACACACAAGGGTAAAACAGTATACCCCCCTCTCCTTTGGAGTGGGGGTATAATAACAGTATACCCCCCTCTCCTTCAGAGCGGGGGTATAATAATTTTATATAAAAAATGTCAACTTTCCTCAAATTATACTGTCAGATTGGGTTTATCATAAAAGATATTAATATTTAAAATTTCAAAAAAGTATTTATTGTTAGGTCACTCAAAAAAATAAGAAAATGAAACATTTGCGCTTGCTTTTTTAAAACAAATCCCATGTGGCAGTCCATGGGAAACATGGTCATCCTAATTCATTAACGCACTTTGAACACAAAAAGATAGATTCAAACTGGGATAAAGAAAATGAATCACTTGCACATGATAGTGGCATTGTAAACAAATCCCATATGGCAGTTGAACAGAAATGTGGTCATCTTAAATCACTTATGGACTTTAAGAACTTAAAGTTAGAGATTCAAACTAGGATATATAAAAGACCACAAATAAAGTTTTTCTTATGAGGATCTTATAATCAAGAGGCCCATGGGTCACAACACTCACCTGAGTAACTTTGACCCTGCTGTTCTTCCCTAAATTTTCCCCCTTGTAATACTTATTGTGGCCCAACCATACCCCCTGGGATCTTAATTGAACAATTTAGAATCTACACTTCCTCAGGAAGCTTCCATATAAATTTCAGCTTTTCTGGCCCAGTGGCAATTGGGAAGAAGATTTTTGAAGATTTTTCCGATATATTTCAATATAAAACTTTGGTTCCCCATTGTGGCCCCACCCTACCCCTGGAGGCCATGATTTGAATAATTTAAAATCTATGCTACCTCAGAAGGCTTCCACATAAGTTGCAGCTTTTCTCGCTCAGTGGTTCTTGAGAAGAAGATTTTTTAATGACCCAACCCTATTTTTGTCATTTCTTGATTATCTCCCCTTGGAAGGGGGCTTGGCCCTTCATTTTCACAATTTGTACTCCCCTTCAGCTAAGGATGCTTTGAACCAACTTTGGTTAAAATTGGCCCAGTGGTTATTGAGAAGTTGAAAATGTAAAAAGTCTACAGACGGACGGACAGCTATACAGACGATGGACAACGGGTGATCAGAAAAGCTCACTTGAGCTTTCAGCTCAGGTGCTTGATCATTGTGTCATAATATCATATAAATGTATGTGCATAAAAATTGAAAAACTTGAACATAGTGTGTTATAAATATCTGTCTGCACACCTTGTATTTCTGCATGACAGTGAGGTGCAAAAATTATTGTAACTTTTTTATTTATTTGATTCAGATTGAGATAATCAATGTGTCCTTGTATATTTCTACTTTTTTTTTTAATTTAGCTTAATTTTTGGGGTACATGAATTCTATTAAATCACTTGGAATGAAACTTCATACTTAAACAAAATAAATATTTTTACATATGATAATGTGCTCTTTAAAATTTCTTGAAGATAGTATAATGAAGATTGGCATAGTCCACGAACTTTCCGAACAACCCTCGTATAATGAACAGAGATTTAGCCATCAACTTTAGAAGTGCATAAAATGCATACAAATAGTATTATGTATAATGACTGTAATATACCTATATTGCACATGTATGTTGTTTTCTTATATTGAAATTTCCAATTAAAGGACTTATCGCATGTTTCTAAATTATTTGAAATTAAAAGCGTATTACGTTCCTTATGACCACAATTTATACATTCTGTGTTTTTACTGTGGATAAATCGCAGTAATTAACCAATTATTGACTCAAATGAAAACCCCTGAATTAAAAATCTAAGTTAATTAGATAGCGATCACATGACCCTGTGACGTCAAAGGCGACAATGGCTGATCAGCTCTTCATTAATCTTACTAAAATGTACGCGATACATCCTGAATTTTCTGCGTTGTGGACGACCAAATCACTTATTTATCGATATAAAATTGAATATTCAACCTTATATGATAGAATTGTCAGCAAGAAAAAATCTTAAAAATCTGTTAACATTGTAAAAATAGCAGTGACGATAGCGAGGGAGACACAGCGAAGACGAAGAAACTCGCCATAACAATGCAATTTGATTTGTCATCTTATCACATGTATTAACTTATTTGATTCACAAATTAAACATTATATGACTTTGTTATTCTTCATTTTGTATATAATATTAATTTATGCAATTGCAAGTCTTCATATGTTTTTTAAAGGATGGCGATCTTGAAAAATAATTTTTCGATCACGAAACATTGCTGTAATTAGAGCAACATGCTCTAAATGTTTTGAATAAAAAATGAAAATATCTTAAAAGCCTTATACCTTAGAACTATTTAATGTTTCTATAGTAATTGAAAAGCATATAAGGAATTAATTTTTTCAGCATTTTTCGTAATTTAGCTGCATTTGTCATTGATAACTCTGTTAATAGTGTGCATATTCTCATCTCTCTATCACCGAATTGTCGCCTTTGACGTCAGAGCAGTATTTTGCCGAAATCCGACTGAAATATGCATATTGCCGTATTTGAATTTCAACTCTCAATATCTCTTAAAATATGCTTTCAACAACGTTTATTATATTCAGTATTTTAATAAACAAGGTTGTAGATAATATTTTTCATAAAATTATGATTTTTGAAAGATCATGTGATAAGTCCTTTAAACGTTGGCATAATATAACAACAAACTCAGAATCTTCATTTGAATGCTAGGCATGTAGTATGGGGGGGGGGGGGGAGGGCTGGCAACCAATTTTTTTTTTTTTTTTTGCAAACATAACCCTTTACTGTTGAAATTGTTCATTGAAAAGCCTGTTGCCCACCCCTACTTTTAGTAGTCATCTCTTGATAATCAAGTGTAACACCCCACCCCACCCCACGAATTAAGATTTTTTTTTTTATTTTGCTTGCCAAAAGATTTTTCAGGTAAGTTGTGAAATGATTTTTCTGGCTGGCCCCCCACTTTTACTTTCAAAAATTTGACTGGATGCATATATCGATCGTAGAAGTTTTGCGTTCATGAATGTTGATTTTGAACACAAGTTGTCTTCCGTACTTAATATATTAGCGGGGATCAGGGCGAGGCCAAGCAACTTCACGAGATTCTTTTTTCTTCTTCTTTTTTCATAGGGTTTGATTCAAACTTCTTTCATTTACTTTTACTTAGTCAATAGCGTTGAACTTATTCGCTAGATAATAAAAAATACTGAATATATTTGTTAGTTTTAGGGCCTATTGTATTTTTTTTTATTATTGAAACAAAAATATTCTAGATCGTTTTAATTCATTTTTATTATGATATCTGATTATTGAAGGTCATTATGATCTAAATTGATCCGCTAGGTTTAGATATATACTTGTTAAATCTGCCGATTTCCACCGTAAAGTAACAAACTAAAATGAAGAACGATCGATGCTGGATGGCGATTCTGTATACATTAATCGGTGTTAATGACCTAGAATTGGTGTTAATGACCTAGAATTCTTAAACTTTACCTACGACTCCTGTCTTCACACTAAATATATCAGTATAAAATGTTGGCATTACATAATTATAAGATGCATTACGTAATTTACCTTGTTTCCTTTACACCTTCAGCAGGACTCGCATTCTTTTCTACGGCAGCTGTGAACAAACAAAAGCTTATCAATCATCCTCGCAACGTCAGGGGTGCCGATTCTACCTGTGGACGTCCACGAGTAGACCCAGGCCCTCTGACGTTGTAAGGGTGTGAAAATGAATGCACGGAAGAAAAGCTACACTATGGTCAACATGCTTAATTTTCATCAGAGACATAAATGTATTGCTATTTATGTAACTATTTGAAGTTGTTATTAAAAAAGTATTTTACTCTAGAATATACACTGTTAGAACATCTGCTGGAATTTCGATGAACACTAGTTGTGCTCCTTCATCAGCTGTTTATTGGCCAACCCTATGAAGCAGAATTTATTCAAAAACGTCTTGCTCCCTGGCTTTCAATTCAACATTTCGATATATCGACGTTTTATCAATTCAAAATAGTTATTTTGATTCATATTTTAACACGATATATATTCCAGTGAACTCCAAATAAAAGTTACCAGATACTTTGCCCTATCTACTTCATACCAGCATGCAATTGTATATTTTACTGACTATTGACGTTAACGATCAACTAACTATAACAAACGGAATGACTTCAGCTTCTCCATCGTCAACTTTCCCCATTTATAATAATATTCCACAATTACCTGCATACAATGGTGTTTGTGTCTTCCAACTGAGTCGATACTCATGAGAATGTTCTGAGTGCGATAAATGTTTAAACAGAGGCAGTAGCATGACAAATAAGATGATGTTGCAGGGTTTTCAACTATCTCATTTAAGCCTCATCATTTGGCAAATCATATAGTCGTTATATTTATATAACGATCTTGTTCGTTATCTCCATACATGTAAATCATTGTAAACAAAACCTGTCATTGTGTCGAATTTTGACATTCTTAAGTTCCCACCAATATGTAAGGCCATTGTTATATAATATACCATTTTGAGCACGGATTACTGCATTTACTTGATCAATACATAGTGCTCACTGCGAGTGTGACCGGTCGACAGGGGAAGCTTACTTCTGCTAGGCACATGTTCCCATCTCTGGGGTTTCCACGGGGTTTTGTCCTGTTCACGATTGATATTGTTTACAGGATTATGATATTGGTCACTGTTTGTTATTTTCAATTTTTAAACATTATTATAATTTCGATTTCTCAGAGGACATTTCATATATTTGAACAGGGTGTTCAAATGAATGACCATGCTTTCTTCCATACATTGAAGAATAGTTGGATCATAAAGAACCTTTCTCAAAACCAACTAAATCAAAGGGGAGGTGAATCTAGCGAAGAATAAATACATGTAAATGTACAAGTAAAGACACCGTAACCTGGGGTGGTTTTATGTGTACTAGTATACTTACAATTTGACATGCAATCATTCAACTGTAGTGTAGATTCAAGTTGGTTATAAAAAGCGAGCCTTGCCTTCGAATTAGTGAAGGGGGGGGGCTATAAGAAAAATTAAATGTTCGTGCAATTCGCAGCTTCAAACAGTTTAATTTTTTTAGCAGTACTATTCCCAAGAAACTGAAAATCCAACCAAGTTTCTCTCTCTCTCTCTCTCTCTCTCTCTCTCTCTCTCTCTTCGACACAATTCAGAATGGACGATCTGTGTAACACTTTACAATTACACAAAAAGTCGATTAAAAGACATGAAAGATTTTTTAATGCCCGATAGAAAGGTGAAAACTATGTTTATTATTAATTAACTCAATTTACTTCATTCTGTTACAAGCCCAACCAAGTTTATCTACATTTGAGCGGAGAGAAGCGGAGGGCATACTTGACAAGCGAAAATGGTTTACTAGAGCAATATTTAGAGAACTATGTTACGAGCTTCCATAGAAAAGAAAAACGAAATTGACAATGTATTTCGAAATACACTGAGCACTACGGAAGCCTCTAGGGGCCGCGTTTTTTTTTAAATTTGTGTGACAAATTTGCTTCTTTTACTTATCATTAATTCAGATGATTTTGTGTTTTTCAAGTTCTTCCATTGATGCAACCTTCATTAGCAGATAAAGGGAGGGGGCACCGGTATCTGTGTTGTTTTCTTATCTATTCAGTTAGAGTATTAAATATTGAAATTTCAAGAACTGAAAATACAAGAATTGATGTTTTATTGATTGAGTATTGAATACAACGCTTCTAGATCCTCTTCCTGATCCTCTTTTTTTCCCGAAAATACTTGATCCGCCTCTGATCCTCTTGATGTAGTGATTCTTGTCAAATATCACAAAACAGTCAGTCCGAGAATATGCTAAAATGCTCTCGATATTTCTTTAAGGACCTTTTCTATAAAAAGTGTTTTTGGACATTGAGAAAATTATAAAGATTACAAAGGTGTAAATTCATATTCTGAATTTATCGATTTCAGATTCAACATATTACAGTAGCAGCGCCTTACCCAAAGGAAAAAAATGTTCTTAATTAAGGAAGTACATCAATCTGATTAAAATCAAATCCTTTGATCTGTCATGTTCTAAATTTTGAATTTACCGGGTGGGAGTAAATGTTCTAAATTTTGTATTTACTCCCACCCGGTAAATTCAAAATTTAGAACATTACAGATCCGCTCACAAAGATCAAATGCAAATAAAGTGTTCAATTAATTTATCTTGTTCAGGGTAAAAATTTGACAGTGCTTGGATTTCAAATTGTATATTTAAAGAAGATTGGCTTATTTAGCGTCTAATCTGAAGGAGTCGTAGGTACGAATCGTTCGTAAAGTCACGCACATAGAAAAATGTTACACTACAATGTGATACCTTGTCAAAGAATTGTAATATATCGAAATCTACTTATCTTACTATTTACGACATACTAGTGTAATTTTACATAATTGGTAAGGCCATTCCAAGTTTTTTCTCTGCTTAGCGTCCGCGTGCGCCTTGGTTTTTGACACCCAATACCAGAAAAAAACAAAATCTCGAGTAGTAAATTTGAATATTCTGGCCGAAATCTTTTAATTCTGTCAATTTCTCTAAATATCTGTCTTCAATATGTCATATTTGATATATTTTTAGCATTTATTTCTTTGGTTTTACTAGGGAATAGATCTTTCTACAAGAAAAATGGATCGATGAAATAAAATCTTTTGAATGTCGTCATTTTTATGACTATAAAGTCTGTTTTTTTTATTTTTTGGCTTGTGTGTTTTTTTTTTGCGAATAGGTAGGTAGGTTTTTGAAAGACGGGTGGACGCTAAACAGAGAAAAAACTTGGAATGGCCTAAACAGCTGAAAGATAATAAGGTATACTAGATTAATGCAGATGTCTTGAATTTTAGAGAGAGGAAACCTTCATGTACAACACAATCAAATTTAACTTTTATCTTAAATGTTAATAAATCAGTAAATTAAATCAAAATGACAAACGACTTAAATTGTTAGTTGTTGAAAAAAAAATTAATGCTCAGCGAGAGGATAAGATTTTAAACACCTGTTCATAACCGTCAGCGACAGATAATATGATCAATGTTTTATAATACGTACTGCGAGTACGATTTTTAATAAAACGTTAATTCTAGTTGGGTTTTTTTCATATTAAATAAATCTTATACGTGTATGTGTACTAGAAGAATAATTTATGAAAAAAAGTCTTTGGGCCTGTGGTGAACATAGCTAGGGGAGGGGGTTCCTGTCCACAAGCTCCTGAGGTCACAGGTACAGAAACTGACGTTGCGCACAGTATTTGGGAAATTGTGTAACTTGTAACACTAAGGGCGAATTTGTTTCTCAAAAACTAGTTTTAGTTTTGAACTAGTTTTGTAAACTGTTCATTTGTTCCACAAACTGGTTTTAAACTAGTTTAAACCCAGAACCGGTTTTCCATTTGTTTTTGCTGTAACTGAAACCAGTTCGTTAAACCAACCAAACGACCTCCGATGGTGGTTTATTTGGTTTACGAAAGAGCGGGAAGTATTCCAGTATGGCGGTGATGAAAGATGGTGACTATTTTAATAAAGAAAAAAGTTATAGATGATTGTTTTTTCGAGGACAAACAACTCTTTTTGACTTTAATGCCACATTCTGATGTTTTATATAAAGCTTCAGAGAATAGATATATGCTGCATATTGTAATGGTGTTTGTTCAATGATAATTTTCAAAAATAAGTTCTGAATCATTTGAACAAACTTTATAACATGTATGGTAAATTGTAGAACATACTATAAAAACAGTTTTAATGTTGGAAATCTAAAGAGTATAATTATAAATACCCGAGTTTTTATCTTTCCATGTGTTAAAAATGTAGAAATTGATCATTTGATGAATCTTTGAGGCATTATAAATGTAAATACTGCATTTTTAAGTAAGATAAACAAGGAACAAAAAACTATAATTTCTTGGATTCTTTTATTAAGAAAAAGATTTTAACTTTATTTGCATGTGTAATTTGGTTAATATGTTGTTCTAGCTCTTCATATTAAAGTTCCTACATTGTAAATGCACATGAAAAACGTCATAAAATTCTTGCAATTCTATCTCTTTTTTTCATCAGCAGCATTATTTCCGCGTTAAATTTCCAATTAACATGATTAATATTAATATAATTAATCACAGGGACTTGAGACAATCTTAGCAAAATCGGGTATATAGTATAATAGTATTAATATATAATAATATTATACTATATACCCGATTTTGCTAAGATTGTCTCAAGTCCCTGTGTAATTAATCACTCATGGATCTTTTAGACGCCATCTTGTATAAACTGTTCATTTGTTTTACCGAGGTAAACCGGATCGAAACTTATAACCAGTTTGAAAACTAGTTTTAAACCTTAAACCAAAACCTGAACTAGTTTAGGTGCAACAAATTCGCCCTACAAGACCGGCGCTGGTAGTTTTTAATCATTTTTTTTTTTTTCGTTTTGTTTGCATGAATTTTTCCGCCAATATGCACATAGCTTCTGTAACAACCTGTGATTATGTCTAATTTGTTCAGTACAATTTTTCGCGCATAGACAACGTATGAAATAACGTCAAAAATGAATCTCTTGCATACTTGCCATTTTTAAAGGAAATACAG